CTTTAGGAATCTGTTTTCGATAGAATCCACATCAACTCATTTACATTTCATCCTTTAGAAGCACCAACCTAGATGATTTTAAAGGGCAGTATCAATCTTGTGCTGAATTTGAAATTAATCCGGAGTGAACAAATCCGGTCTCTAATCGGAATCCTCGAACACAGTCAAAATGCTCGAATAATTTTGTTATTCGTCACCGAATTCAATAATCATTCCACGTGAAATGTCTGCCAGTCAGTTTTTTAACTCCTAGCATTCGATGATCAAAATGAAACATTTCAATTATCAAATCTCTGACTGCTTGATGATATCTTTCAAAAGAGCGTGATCATGACAAGGAAGTGAAGAAAAACTATCACGCCAAACACGTACAGTTCAAAAATTTCAGTCCGTTGATTCTGAATTCAGATTCTAAACTCTGATTCACTAGGTAGTAAATGACTCGATCTGGAAGAAAGTTGATTGTGAGAATTTTGTGAGATATTCAACAAAAATTTCAGATTTCGGATGGCAACGGGTTCTTGTTCGAACGTTCGTAATGATGGCTGTCGGGTTTATCGCTGAAACAATCCCAAATTTTGGCCCACTACTTGATCTCGTCGGTGGATCGACCATTACCTTGACAGCACTCGTCTTTCCGTGCCTCTTCTATCTGTATCTGTCGGTTGGTGAGGATGCAATGAATTCCGAATGTACAAGCGCTCAATTCGAAGAGTATTGTGATAAATCGCCTTCATTTAGCGAGTGCGTTCTGCATTTCTTCATTCACTTCACACACAAATGCGCAATAAAACTTTTTGAATCTAGAATAAAACAATTAATAAGTCCAAAAATTGGTCCAATTGAGCGAATTAGCAAATTGACATGAATGAGTCTATTGATAGGAACTGATAAGATTTCACATTGAGAGAAATGCACAGCAAGCGTAAAATTGAGAAATAATTAAAAGTGCAACCAGCAATTGCGTTGTTTATTTCATTGACATTGCCAAAATGGTTGCAAAAGCACTTTAAAGTTCGTTCTGTCAATTTTTTGTTTGTGTCAATTCACATTATTTGAAGTGCAGTTTTTCCGACGACGACGAAGACGACAAATAGTTTATCAGATTACACAAAAAATGAATGAAATTTTTCGAAACATATAAATATGTCTGCTCACAAAAGGAAGTCATTTTCTGAGACGAAACCTTTGGATCATATGATTGTTTGATAATCTTGTTTCACTAAAATTCATTTCAGAGTCATTCAAAGGACACCGAAACGGCGTTTGATCATATGTGCAGCAGTGATCAGTACGTTGTTGTTTTTTTCTTGCTAATTGCTCTTGCTCATGTTTTTCTCAGAATATTTCAGTTCTACTTTTGATTTTCCTGTAAACACGACCGGTTTTCAATTGAATCGTTGATGATCACTTTTTTATGCGATCTCGTCTCAGCTCAGTCAGTTTCACTTTGACCTGGAGTGTAGAATTGCCATTTTGAATTAGTTATGAGCATCGCTACGATCATTTTCTGCAGGGTCGGAAATCAAGGAAAACATTATATGTGATACTGTTGCATCATGCATCATGCATCATATTTAAGTTCAACGATTTAGAACGTGAGGTTTTGAACAATTTTGCGAATTTCAGCACTAGCAATCGTTGGCGGAGCTGCCACCACATATTCAGCCATTCGGGAATTGGTCACCACACAGTTTTCACTACCGTGTTATTTGCGATCAGTGATGAATGCGTTGGAGTCGGGTGATTCAACTGGAGAGGGCACTAGTATGAATTGCTGTGGACTATGGCAGAACGTTTCTCGAACCGGTGATAATGCTAGATGTAGCAAATTTATCGACTTTTATAATCAGTACGATTGAAGCAACTGAACATCATCACCATCATTCTTAGAGGCCACCGGAAAAGCGCCACTCGAAACGCACAAATGTAGTTTCAGGCTAGAACTTAAGTTATTGTATGCACTTAATGCATCTTGTGCACTTATATATCTACATCCTACATATCCCGTAAGACTTTTTGCCTTTTCTTTTGTACTGTGTACAAGCAAACGTGAATGTTATACATTCATATTAATGAATTGTCGTTGATATTCAACGTCGTCAATACATTCATATTTATACATGCGAAAATTTGTGTTGTGTTTTTTTGTCGATAGACATCGAAATGTAAATTATGTCCAGTCAGTCAGTTTCTTGTGAATGTTTTGTAAATAAAATAGAAAGAAATTCAGGTCAGGGCTTCTTTTGTTATTGAATGCGCTTTCCACGTTGTGTGCATACGTTGTTCATGCATTCTGCACACTTTTTACCAGTTTTTTTTTTGGTACTATGTACAAGCCACCATCCATCATGAATGTGTGTTACGCTGTTCATCGAATGCGTGACGATATCGTATCAACATCAAAACATTTATATTTATACACACAAAAATTTGTGTTTGTGTTTGTCTATAAATATGGAATATGTGAAAATTATGTTCAGTCAGTGTTTTGTATGTTTTCCTAATGAATGAATGTTTTCCTAATAAAATGCGTTGTTTTTTGGAATATTTTTCGCAATATTGAACTTTAAATACAGATGCATACTTCAAATTCCTCCAGCAGCAGCAACAGTACCTATCTGCCTGTCATAAACTCATGAGTGGATACTTATTGTTCTCTATGAATCAAAAACGATGAGAAGAAATTTCCATTTGAGGTACAGTCATAGTCATAGCCACATTCATTACATTTAAGAGGTCCTATCAATTGATCAGTCAGTGATCACAATAATAAATAAAAATAGACATTATTTGTACAGTAAGCGAACTGTAATGATACATTCAGCGAACATGAAGCAAGGCAAATATTCAACGAAAACTGTATCATAACTCGTGACTACTTGCATTCCATGCAGAAACATTCAAAATATTTGATTGCGGGTCGACATCAAACGAGATGAAACGCATGGTATGATATGATAGCTATTCTTGAAGAGGTATTTACTTTTGCTGATTATCGAGTCAGTTTGACCGTTTGCTATTGCATTGAGAAAAGAGCAACTCGGTCTTAATCGTTAGTTAATAAACGGCCATGGCTGCATGGCATTCTGCTAGTTTTAGCATCATCAATTGATGATCGAGAATACAACGAAACTAGCTGACATATATATTGAGCACGCTGTGAAATGTTTCTTGCAATTTATCAGCAAACGTTCTCAGTCGTCACATTTCAACGCATGCACTGAAAACTTTATGATTCCACACACCCTCATAAAAGATGACTGATTTCTGCCACATGCACAGTTATTCAGTGATATGAACACTAAGACAAGCAGTGAGGGCCGCTTGATCGTTTATTCGTATGTTATGAAACGAATTTGGAATGTTCT